TTTATCAAATGCAATCCAGAATTCAGTATACATATTAAAGTTTAAATGCTATGTACCAAAGAAAGCTGTATGAAATCATTATGCACAATACAGGCTTCACAAAATCCAAGTGAAATGAAATGACGGTTTCAGAAATGAAGAGTATCTAAATGGCTTTAACAGACACCAAAGATTTTAATGGTGACAATGACAGCACAACTTCAGCACAAATATCAACTATTTGTAACTTATAATAACAAAACTTACCACCTACTATGTAACTTGATGTTACTTAATAACATTTTTTCCTGCCAGTTATCTGTGCTCGTGTCAGTTATATGTATGTATGTCATTTATGTACCAACATCTACAGTGGTATTGTTAAGGACTCAGAAAGTGAAGTTCTTTTCAACTAAGTGATCTTAGATATTAAAGCTTCTTTTGACATAATCTTTTTTTAAATATTTCTTGTCATTTTCCTAGATAATGGAAGATGACTGCTTTTGTAAGTATTTTGCAATTTTAACAAATATACAGATATTCAGTTTCTTATTAAAACTTGCATAATGGTTTGCTTGATAGGGTTAAGTGCAAAGATTGCATGTCTCATTTCCAAATATTCCATGTTGACATCATTTTTTTTTCTAGAAGGATAAAGTATTGTGTGAGACAATTCACATGTTATCTCCTACTATGTGAGGGAGCTCAGACTTTGCAGTGATATATTTTAATATGGATATCACATCTATAGTTATATCATCTTTGAGTGCCAGTTTTGATAAAGTCTAGTCAGTATTTGATTATGGTTGCACAAGTTGATGATTATGGTCTGTACTTCAGAAGTTCAGATATTTTTAAGCTCAGTAAATGTATGTTGCGCGTGGATTTGTGATGGTCCGACAGTGTGTTTTTTCTATCAGAATACACTTTTAAATGTAAATTTTCGTATATTCCCAAATGCCAATGCAATTATGGCATTCCTGTGTGGATGTGGAGAACCTACGAGGACAGATCATACCTCTTTCTCCATTGGTCGCAGAAGTTCTCGAGATTTACTTTTCATGGCTATGTGCAAAAAATGTGGAGGTTACACTTTATTAGAATTATTTAAAATTGTATTAGTTAATAGATTGACAGAAATCCTTCCTTTCATTTAACTTCTGTAAACTTTATTTATTTTGTTATTAGTATTCAGAGAATACATGCATGATAACATGCAATTGTAAATGGGAATATTAAGGAATATGCATTCGTGAATAGTTGGTCTAATACAAGTGTGTGAGTGAGTGAGTGAGTGAGTGAGTGAGTGAGTGAGTGAGTGAGTGAGTGAGTGAGTGAGTGAGTGAGTGAGTGAGTGAGTGAGTGCATGAGTGAGTGAGTGTGCGTGTGTGAGTGTGTGTAAGTGAGTGAGTGAGTGAGTGAGTGAGTGTGTGTGAGTGAGTGAGTGTGAGAGTGCATGAGTGAGTGAGTGAGTGTGAGTGAGTGTGTGTGTGTGTGTGTGTGTGTGTGTGTGTGTGTGTGTGTGTGTGTGTGTGTGTGTGTGTGTGTGTGTGTGTGTGTGTGAGTGTGAGTGTGAGTGTGAGTGTGAGTGTGAGTGTGAGTGTGAGTGTGTGAGTGTGTGTGAGTGAGTGAGTGAGTGAGTGAGTGTGTGTGTGTGTGTGTGTGTGTGTGTGTGTGTGTGTGTGTGTGTGTGTGTGTGTGTGTGTGTGTGTGTGTGTGTGTGTGTGTGTGTGTGTGTGTGTGTGTGTGTGTGTGTGTGTGTGTGTTGTGTGTGTGTGTGTGTGTGTGTGTGTGTGTGTGTGTGTGTGTGTGTGTGTGTGTATTTCTAGTCAAGCAGATAAGATTGTATCTTAAGTTACAGAAATGCAATAGGAATACACTATTATCCAAAGTGTCAAAGGCAAGGTTGTTATGTGATTATTGCATGTTGTTTCTTGTTTAGATTTAGAAGTAAACAAGTATTGATGTCTTACAATTTGGTTCATTTGTGTTAACAGAAACATACACAAATGCATATTCAGATGCACACACATGCACAATTACACATATACTATACTTTGCCATTAAACATTCTATTTCATTCATCCAAAAACATATGTAAAGATTACATTTTTTCCTAAAAAAAAAGAACATGCACAATTGCCATGTATTTTTTGTCCATTGTATGATCTTTGCCATGTAATTGTCCATTGGATATCCTCTAAGTTGAGGACTTATAGAAAGAAAGTAAATTCAGGAGAAAGATAAACAATTGGTCAATTCTATTCTCCAAGTGTACAGTTGTGCATGAAGAATTGTGCATGATTTAAGATTTTCACAGTATTGATGTATTTTTGTTCATTGTACAGCATACACATATTCAGAATACATATATGGATCTATTTGTATCATTGATTTGAGAAAGATCAAAATCATTTTTTATTTGTAATGCTACATACATGTTTTGTTTAGTTAACATACCATTATAAACATGTATAAACAAACTGTATTGTGTGTACAGATAATACATATAAGTTTGTAGTATTTGACAAGATCAAATACAGTTTGTTTATACATGTTTATAATGGTATGTGCTTTTACATTGATTCATGCAAAGTTAGTGCTTCTACATTTTTCGTTAATATAAGTTGCATGATATGATACTCGTTTGTACCAACTGCATTCAGAAATATGTCACTTGTATTATTGACAATGAAGAATAAGGAATTTGTAAGTAAGTATATAATAAATGGATCTTAAGGCATGAATAACAGAAATCAGATATAATGGATAATGATAATTTGTGATTTATTTTTCTTTTATTTAAAAAGTTATCACTAGAAAGGAGAGAATTAATTAACATGAAATGAAACATGAAAAATATTTATATACCATCATCTAAAGCATAACAAAGAGTAAATTTGAAATAGGTTTAGACATTACAGGAAGGAAAATATGATGTGATGTAAAATTGTCCAATTATTATTATGCGTTGTCTTAAAAAACCTACTTACATTAGTATTTTATTTTCTGTTAATGTCAGCTAAGTAATAGCTACCTTTCCTATATTATTTTATGTATACAGGGTGTCTGTGATATATTTGACAGTTAACAGAAAAAGGAAAGAAAACCCAATATCTCAGAAGAAATATAAATATTTTAGAACATCAAAAAACATCTACAGGTTTATGGCTGAGAGAATAGTTTACTCACATTAGCCGCCCTTAGCTTTCACCACAGTGTCAAGACAGCTCTGGAACCCGGCAAAGGAGTTTCTCACTGTGCCCCTGGAAAGATCTCAGCCATCAGTTCAGTCTTGGTGTTGTAAGTAGAGATGTCAGTGTCTTTCTGAACTGCAGTCCATACATAGTAGTCCTTGGAGGAAACTGGGAGGCCAGGTATTGGTGAATGGTGAATTATTAGAAATTTTATTGAAATTCTCTGACAACTCTTTCTGACTCTTTCCGGAGGTATGGCAAGGAGATGAATCCCAAATCTTGTGTTGTGCTTAAGGCCATGCAGTATCAATCCTCTGCCAAGGTCCTTCTCCGGCCTGGGGGCAGGGGGCAATGGGGTGAAATGTCAACCTTAGCGGAAGGAGAAACCCAAAGACTATTATAGTTAATAATTTGGAGACTTCATTGCATATGTCCATGTCACAACCATTACAGTGTTCAAAGAGCATTAAGTAGCAGTTATTAGGGTGTCCATATACTGATACCTGGTGTAGATTGATCATGATAAGGTTACTCTTCTAATATTCAGGTGATTTCCAGTTCTCTGTGTAAGCTAACTTTTTCTCAGCAATATATCTTTATGGTCTTTAATGCCATTGACTGTTCACCCATACATCAGCCTGACCTGAAAAGATACTTTAAATATCTTCAAATTTAGTCCAAACACCCTGTAATGATACTGAAGATATCTTACAAGCATCTAACTTATTGCTGTTTTTTTCAGTTGATAATGATAAGTAGAAGTAACCTTTTGATGTTTATAATATCCAACTGACTTTCATTCCATAATTTTTTTACTAAGAATTATATTTTTGGTGTTATAAATATCTAAAAATTCCAAAAAAAATCTCTTAGATCTCTGTACCCTTTGGGCATCATGTGAAATCCTAAATATCAAAGCATTGTAACCCCCCTTCCCCAAACTGTACGCCATGCATCGTATACATAAGGATACATCTGGTACAGTTTTTTTTTGTTGAAAATGCGATAATAGTGTAATGACTTTCTGTGGCATTTGGAGACTAACTGAAAACAATTTTGTTTGTACATGCCCAGGCAGAGTGGAAGAGGTCTTGCCACTCAACTTCTTTTTGATAATCTAATATTCTTGCTTGTTTGGCATTGCTTGTCAGCCTGCATCATGCCAAAATTTCCAAAGTATGAGAGGAATATGAGAGAGCAAGGCTTGCAAGAGAGGCAAGAATAAAGAAAAGAGCGCTGTAGAGGGTCACCACGTCTGCCAGCGATGCTACCTCTGCTACTTCATCTCCTCCTCCTTATTTGCCCAGCCCTTCCTCATCTGAACAAGGTTCTCCACAACCATCAACCTCCCATGTATTGGAAGAGCAATGGCAAGCATCAGTGTCCTCACCTACTGATACTGGTTTGCTTCTCCCTCCCAAGAAGCATGGTGCAAGTTTTCAGCCCAATAAGAGTTATGATCCCATGTACTTTCTTGGTCACTGCTACAGGAGTTGTTTACCAAGCTAAAGTGTCCCAGGAAAAGCTGCAGGAGCACTGTCATGGTCATCCTCACTTATTGTAATTGGAAAAGCTGAAGTCAGTGTCATCTGTAATAGCTGTCAGAAGATCCTGAGCCATGCCCCTCCAATCACCAAGCACACCAGTCCTCCACCTCAGCTGACTTTTCCACAACTTTGATCCTTATACTCTCCAATGCCTTTGTTCACCACATACATCAACCTGCTCCTGAACAAGAGAGACTTCAAATATCGTCAGATTTAGCCCGAACACCCTGCAATGATAGTGAACAGACCTTAGAAACATCTGGTTCTCTGCTTAGGTTTCATGTTGATAATAACAAGTGCAAATAACTTTTCTATGAAACCGATATTGAACTTCATCTTCATTCCAATTTTTGTAGTGAAAATTAAGTTTTTGAGTTTTCTTCAGCATCTTGGCTGTTACTGTGCCATTAAACTATCGGTTAAAAGGAAAGAAAATCATTGTGTGAGTTAAGTATGTTTCATTATAAGCTTCCCTTGTTTCTCATAATACTATTCCATGCACTTTACAGCTTCTTAAAGAATGGAAACTATACATTTGATTCTGATTTCATTCCACAAGTTCTTTTATTATTTTTAGCTTAAAATGTATGAATAGGTAATTAGTCTATTGCTATTTTGTTATATTTTGTAGGCTGCTAGTTTTTGCTTGATGTTTTGTCAATTTTTTTTAAAATCCTGTTTTTATTACAAAGATGTTTTTTTTTTTTTTTAATGTACTTTTATTATTGACTTTATTATTATTGATATTGTTATTTACATGATTATCATTACTTTAATTATTGTGATTAATAGTAATAATAATAATTTACTATTAAAATGATGAAAATATTAGTAAATAAAAGAATAACAGGCAATTTTGATGAGAAGTCATCATTACTACTGCTACTACTATTATTGTTATTAGTATTACCACCTCTTCCCTCCCCTTTCCATATAATTTTGTAAGGTCAGCAAATCGTAAATTTTGATAAAAGAACACAGATTCTCAGTTCAAGTACAAGATGTGGGTGTATTCCAAAATTGTTTAAAATATATTAAAATACATTCTGGTGATATCCTCATCAAAAACAATTTTATACTTTTTTTTCAAGTAATGTTATTCTTCAGTTAAGCTTAAATTTGTTTTTCTTTCATATCCACAGAAGCACATTGTAATTTCTTTTAGAAATGGTAAGATGTAAACATGTCTTATGTATGATAAAAAAAGACAAGTTTTAGGATAATGCACCACTATTGGCTCTGTGCATATATTTTTTTCCATCTTTAATCATTTTCTAAAATAAAATGTCAAAACTAAATTTTTGTCTAAATTGCATCCTTTTGTGCTATGTTGATAAATGCACAATTTATGTTTGTCATTATAATGATAATCTTTCAAATGCTGCTGTTACAAACTTGTATACATATATAAACTGTCTGCATTTCAATGTCCTGACTCAGCTTGAATTATAACTAAAAAAAGAGTGACTTCCACTTCATCCTTGCAACCAATATTCCTTAAACCCTTCATGACAATCTTTTGAAACCTTACCTCTTCCGTGTGGTCAACAGATACCAGGATATGACTGGCCTTGATATTTATGAGCATGGTTGAACTAAAGGCATAGCATAAGTATTGGTGTGCAAATTCTCACAACCCTTGTAGTTTTGGGAGGCTCGAGTACCTACAATTGGAAGCAGAAGTGGACAAGGGTGAATAGAATCTGGTATCTATGCATTTCCAATTTCACAATACACCGAGTCTTGACTGTAAATTCATCTTACAAGTTTACAATACATACCAGACCCATTCATGAAACCACCACAACAAAGTTTGAATTCTTTTTAAACATGTAGAATATGTAGGAGGGCAATAAAAGTATGCAGTTTAAAAAACAAAGTTTTAATTCCCTCTTTCTATAAGAGGGACCAAAGGAATGTAGACACGGCAACACATTGGAGAAAAATAATGTATTTTGTAGACACTGACAAGACATGCATAGAAAAAATCATTTCTACGACAAACACGACACAAAGGAAGAACAATGGAAGTTGAAGAACAATTCTCGGATAACATAGCACATATTTAACATAAATAACAATTATATTTACATCACTTTCACTGACTTTACGAGACAATGTCCAACAGCAATTATCAACTCAATGTCATTAAAAAAAAACACAAATTTAAGAAATATATTAAATTAATAATAATGACATCTAAAAAAAAATTCAAGTTTTAAATAATTAAATTGATAATACTAAACCACATACAGTTGTTACTATAAACGTTATGTACACAGGCCTTGTCACCTTAGCACTCACGTCAACACCCACAAGCACACTGCAGTAACCTGAATTCAGAGAGTAAACCACATGTACATCCACACGCACTTTTTGCTTCTACTGTTGCTTCTTCTTGTTTCCTGAGCGGTCCTTCTTCCTGCCCCCCTTTTTGGCAGCAGGAACATCCCAATAAATGTAGATCTGTGCCAGTAGGATGAAATTGGCCAAGGTGGCTACACAGTACTGGATGATCATGACCTGGTCCCCTGTGTCCTGGATGGAAGTGAAGATCCTTGAGGCTGAGCCGAAGAACAGTAAGCAGACAGTTACCACAGACAACTGACCTGTACTACCATTCTTGTAGTTGGATACAGCCTGGACCATCTGTATTGAGAAAGACAACAGTCTGATAAGATAAACATTCTTATTTATCTAGAACTTAATGGTTTACCAATATCCATTGACTATACCAATTTTCTTTATTTGTTTCAAAGAAAACAATGATGATTTCTCAGACTATCTACTATCTTAAAAATTGCCCATTCTCAAAAACAAATTTCTATACTCAGAAACAGAGCCACAAAAAATGTGCAACACCTACCTTTCCTGCAAATACCATAGGGATGTTCATGGCCTGAAGGTACCAAAGAAGGTTGAGGGGTACCATCCCATAGCAGAGCAAGGCTGTAGTTGAGAGTGCAGCTGTCAGGTAGAAGACAGCTGGAACTGCTGAACTACTGTAGTAATACACTAGGAAGCCAATAATGGAGTTCTGGAGTGTAATGAAGTAACTGTCACCATATGAGCTGCAAGACAAAATAAAAAATTATGATAATAGAAAGGTGTAGTGAAAAGGGGTAAATTTTAGTGAAATTTCTGATTGAAGATTAAATGCAATACAAGTCAAGGGTGAAAGTTGTCAAAAGGGAGAAGTGTGGGTTTTTGCAAGGATGTCTGAAGGGTAAGTTAGGCATTAGCAAAAGGAAAAAGGGGGATTTAACTCAGTGCCGACGGTAAAAATATTTGGCAAGTGGATGTAATAACGGGATTGTTGGCGCACATCGGCAGTTTCCCGTTTGCATCCGGCTTGATCGGTAGTTTGGGAGCGACATTTGGCACCTAAAAGATTTTATTTTGCTATAATTTATAAAAATAGTATAATTTTGAAGGTTTACCTTCATTATAGATGCCATTGCCTAAAATCTTTACCATATAAATGAAGCCGCTCCTATTGGAGAAAAACTAACTCCGTCCGACAAGCCAGTGGTGCGGGAATGGGCATGTTATGCTGCCATCCGTGTTTCTGTCCACAACAGCCATGGCATGTACGTAAATGCCACCCATTGGCTAGGGGTTAAGAGTGATTAAATGACCTCTGTGGGAAAAATATCAGGAGGGAGAAAACCCAGGTAAGGGGGGATTGTAACAAGTCATGTTTATCCAGGAGGAAGTGGAAGGAAGAGGTGTAAGAGGAACATGAGTAGGAGACGGATGGATGTCAGCAGTTACTTTGAATGGAGGGAATATGGGCAAAGAGACTGAAGGAAGAATGAGGAGTAGGCAAGTTATCTTGGGTCATAAGGAGGAAGAGGGGTAGGTACCAGAAAAGTTGAGATTGGAGTGTCTGGATTTAGAATGACAAAAGAATTTGACTGGGAGAGGGAGGGGGCAGAAGTGGGATGAGGAGGAGATACTGGGGGAGATGTAAAAACCTCTTGGGATGGAGGGGAAGGGGCAGAGCCAAGGACAGTACTGGAGTAGGGAGCGAGAAAAACCTTGTCTGTGTGCTTCTTGCTGCCCCTATAACATATATTAGGAAAGCCACCACAGTTGGCACTTGTGCATGATTGTGTAGAGCAGTCTCGTCAATCATGACCAGTTTGACCACATAGAGGGCATTGCGCTTTAGAGTGGCAGTGTTTAACAGGGTGGCATAGATGCCAACAATTCTCACATTGATGGGGGGAGGTCATGTCTATAGAAAGTAATCTTCATCATATTAGTGGAAGACTTAGAGGAGCCTCTAGGAGGAATGGTGTAGCATTGTACTGAAACTGCATCACAGTCCATGAGGCAAGCGAGCAAGTCTTCTCCACTACCTGACCAATCCTTGTCATAGACAGGGCAGTTTGTCAGGGAGATGGAGACAGTTCTGGTAGAAGTATTAAGGGAGGAATGAGGCTAGGCAGGGATGGATTTGCCAATGATGTCTTTAGATTGAGATTCTGATGTACATGTGACAAGGCGGGAATGATCAGGGTGGCTGTGGAAGGAAACTTTGCCTACTTGTTTTTGGAGGCATTGTTGGAAAAGTTGTCAGAGTAAGGGTTGTAAAGGGGATTACAAAAAATCAATTGCAATTGGCTGGGCTAAAGACAGTATTCAAAAGGTTTGCAGAGATAAGGGTAGGAAGAGGACTGGGATGTGTGGAAGAGGAAGTAGTGTTGAGTGAGATAGTACTGCAGAGAGGTGGACAATAAGGCTTCACAGTAGTAAAAAGTGAGGAGGGGGTAGTAGATGAAGAAAGCGGTGGGGGTGGAAGAGATGAAGCAGAGGATGTTCGAAGAAAAGGAACCTTTTCTGAAGGCTGAGTAAAGACCTAGGTGTATGATTTGGACTAGACTGAAGTGGTAATAGGTGTTGAGGAAAGGGTAATTGTAGCAGTGTTCAGAGTTGTGCTCCAATGAGAGCCTGGGGTGGAACCAGAACAATTTAAATCTGTGGAGCTAGTTGTTAAAGGAGCAAGCCTCAGTGCCCCAAATAAGGGTACAAAATCATCATTACTGGCCATGGTAAGCCTGAAGTATGTTGGAGAAAGAAACAGTCCACCCAACAGGGTCCCCTTGAGGGGTAAGGGCTAGACAACTAAACAGTCTTTCATTCTTTCAACACATCTCTCACACCTTAGGATGTGGATAGAAGAAGGGGTAAGAGAAGAGACATGGAAAGGGAAGAAGAAAAGACCTTGCAAGCTGTAGCAAAGGAATCCATATTAGACCCAAAGAGAATATTAGCCTAGGAATTAAAAACAAAAGTATGGATCATGTAATCACCAGTGAAAAATTCACTACTAAAAAACTTGTACCATCATTTATTGCCACTTTTATCCTTTTTTCCTTTCCTCCTCTTCCACCCTTCATCGCAATCTCCCATAAACATCCTTCTTATCAATGAGGTAGACAGGTGGAGAGAACAAGTTCCGTCTCCCACCTGTAAACTTCCAAACCTGTGGGTAGTGCTCATATATCCCAACAGGAGATAGGAATTTCACCATTACTACTGTCCTAAACGATTCCAAATAAAACTTTCCCTTAATTTTCAGCAAACATATTACTTACACAAAAAAAATCCCTAGAACTTCAGTAATTCATGTTTGAGAGAATACACTAAAAAGTAATGCTCAAGAAGAAAAATTTACATGACCCAACTAGACCCAACATGATTTTTTTTTTGCTATTTTATTATTATTATTTTTAACTTTTTCTTTGCATCTTGTCCTCTACTGAGACATTGGGGGGGACAGATAAAATATTAAGTAAAGTATAGCAGAGTAAAGTAAAACAAAAATGGAGCAAAGACACAAGTTGAGGAGAAAGTAATGATTCCCATTTTTTACCTAAATAAAAATGCTTCAACAGGTCAACTTCCCATACATACATATTAAGAGATTACAATTTCACAAAGGGAGCCCCATTATTACCTTCCGTCACTACTGTATTCATCAAAGTTCATATTTTTTTTCTTGCTGTGGCTGTTATTTAAATGCTGTTACTGTACAAATTTTTTATCTATACAGAAAATGCATCACATCAAAGAAACCTAAAACTTGCCTGAATGCGTGGGCCTTGAGGAAATTGTACGAAGTGGTGATCATTGCAGCCAAAAGCTCGAGGCTTGTCCCCACGACACTGATTCCCTCTCCACTCTTGGCAACCATGATTTTGATGATCTGTGGGAGTTTGACCATCATGGCCCCCACGGTGATGCCATATCCCAGGCAGGTGCTGAGGAGTGCAGCCAGACATGGACCTGAAAAATAAAAAGCACTTTTAAAACCTTTCTTTTTTTACTGTCACACTTTAATACTTATAGTATTTACAATTCACACCTTTTAAATAAACATCACGACAAACTATTCGCTGGGATCAAGTTCAGGGTAAACATCTTGAAGAAAACCTAATTTCTTTTAACCCACTCACGCGGGTACATTTTGTAGCCAAAATTAAAAAATTCCGGGCGGCTACAAAATCGGCAGGAGGAGCTTCCCCGGAGTCTGTCCGGCCGCCGCCGCCGCCCGCCGCTGCTGCGTCGGAGCACAGCCCCGATACAGCATATATGTGACACCCGGCACGATTGGGTTAATTCACTCATACTCATTCACCCTCACTCACTCACTCTCTCTCTAGTTCTAGAAACAAATATGAAGTTGGGTTTGGTGAAAGATGAAACTTCAACATCTTTCTGCAGCAGGGCAGCCACGCAAGGGCAAAAACTACTGTCTGTAGGGGTTAATTATGTGACTATGATAAAATTTGGTTTGCGGGACAGGCAATGTGAATATGCCAAGACACACACACACACACACACACACACACAAAAAAACTGGTTGAGTGGCTGGGTGATAGGAACATGTTGGCATGAGAATTTCACCTGAAGGCTGAGGTGATGGGAATGATTTGCTACAAAGCGTTTGGGGGTGATTAGACTGAGTGGGTATATATGAAGAGACTTTTGAATTATTTCTACCAATAACAAGGGTTGGAATTTACCATCCATGTGCCATGAGTGGAAGGTTATATTATTAAAAAATAAACATGAAAATGGTACACAACAAAATGTTACTTATTTTTCTATTATTTCACTGAGTTATGGATTACTTAGAGAGATGATATGGAGTCTGCGCAAGGAACACCATCTGGATAAAGCAAATCAAATGAGAAATATAGACATTGGAGGCATAGTCATGTCACCTCACAAGTGTTCTTGTGTCCCCAGCCTACAAACCACACATCCACCAGAGTGGCCACTCAAGTAAGCCTAATGACAGTATTTTGGGTCTTGTGCAGAGCAGTGAAGCACTCAGATCCAAAGGGTTAACCTGAGAAGGAAATGCTATAAACGAAAAGCGTTTACATTTTGTCATCCTGTCCATTACAAGCCAATATGGAAAGTACAGCAGATGCATATCCGAGATTTTTGTTCGAGTTCCTGGTTGCACACCTGAGTGATTTACGGAAGTGCTACAGGTCGAGTTCCATACAGCCTTCGTAAAAATATATAATTATATATATAAATATATATATATATATATATATATATATATATATATATATATATATATATATATATATATATATACACACATACATACATATACATACATACATGCAATCGATAGAGCGAGTGATTCTAAGAAACTTATCTTCTATGATCAACTGCAACTCAATAATAACGACGTTATTTGTAAACAAAACAATGATGCCGTTTCTTTTTTGTACATTTATTCTAGTCACTTGATGTTTGTGCGTAGATCAAGCCCGCATACCGGTACACGAAAGAGTAGTTGTTTGTTTCAAAATATATGACAATACACCAGTAATACTCACATGATATTGAGTATTTACAATAACAAATAAATCTATTGCTCAGCGCAAATCAATGTGTCTGACCCTGATTATGGGCAAGAGGGGCATGAAGAACTATGTAGGAAATTTAAACACCAGAATGTCTCTGCACGACTTGCGTGCGATACATTTTGAACTAAAACACTTACAGCGCATGCACGTGACATTATTTACGATAGCCAATAGCATTACATGAAATGTGTTAACCAATCACATGCCACCGTGTGTACCATGTGTATGTATAGTGGGTCAGTAAGATATATAATACCTTTTTACCAAAATGGAGACAGCCAGGTGCGGTGGTTGTGATCCACACTATTATAAAATAATTTGATTATTTTGAAAAAAATGAAGAATCACTAAAATTTTTAAGAGTACAGTGGTTTGCCATTTGTAAAGTAACTTGCCCACATTGCAATTTACCTTGCAAATATCGTCAAGATTGACATATGTGGTATTGTGGTAGATTGAAGAAAATTGCTAAAACCAAGCAGCGTAAAGTTGCGTTTTCTCGATCAGTGAGAAAACAACTAGCGTAGATTGGAGCAGTTTTTGTTCAGAAGTAACACAATTTGGGTTACAAAATCAAAATTCTATTGAGGTGGCGGTGTAATCGTTGAGATCGATGAGACGCTGCTCGTGTGCTGGAAGTACAACAGAGGGGGGAGGCTTAGTCAAGTGTGGTCTTTGGGCGTATTGAGTGTCAAAAAGAAATTTGTGGTACTGTTGGTAGGCAGCGACCGCAGTGCAGATACGCTCATACCCCTTATAAAACAGTATATTAAGATGGGTTCCATCATTTGTAGCGACGAGTGGCCTGCCTACCATAACCTAAAAGATCGTGGGTACGAGCACCTGGTAATTAATCATTCGGAAAATTTTGTAGATCCTCACTTCCCACATATCCATACACAAAATACTGAGAGATTATGGAGAACCATGAAAGAATGGGTAAAGAGGCCGGGTATCAGATCGGATTATATGCACCAGTATATATCTAGATATATATTTATTACATTTACTGAAACCCAACTGCATGATTTTTTTTAGAGGTGGCACGGCTCTACCCACCCCAAGGTGGGAAAACAAGAGAGGTTCTCCTCCAACCCCCAATTCCTCTTGACGAGAACACTTCTTCTGAGAGCGAGTGAGGGATAAGGCAAGATTTAAGAAAACCTTTATCGATGGCAACATTAATCAATATTTTATGATCCCCCTCAAAATGGCCGCCACTATATCAAAGAACGAGACGCTCAAATGCATAAAAATTCCACCTTGCATATCATGTGAAGTAAAACTAATTCACTAATATTATTTTTTACGTTATTCACTATTAAAGTTTATATACTGTTTCTCAAATGCGATAAAAGTTTGTTTAGGAGGGATGGCATCTGCGTCAATAATGTAAACATGAACGATGGCTTGACACGGAACTATGGTCACTAGCGGAACTTCGGCTTTCACCTTTTTGTTTGGTAATAACATTTGTAAACGGAATAAGTTAATAAGATCCCATTATTGCTTGAGCAACAATTAACTTAATTAAATTGTCATTAATAGGATCTGCAGGAAACTTGGGAAACACATTTTCATATTTCAATGTCCCTTTTGTTTAATCATGATGTAATGCATTTGTATTGTGCGGCAATCAGGCTAAAAGTAAACCCAGATTTAACAACATAATTGCAGACCGTACTTGTATAGGTGAAACATGCGTCTCTTTCCTGTAGAGTTTCAACAAACACGATTTAAAGCTTTAATTTAGTTGTTTTGATATGTTTTGCTGTGTGTAAATCATGCATATTCTTCCCAGAAATACAGTGCAAAACCTAGGCTTACACACTTACGCAACTTTGACATCGGGAAGTACAAGTTATGTCACTGGTCAAGCAGTCAAATGCGACAGAGAACAGCAGCATTACTGCTCTAAACAGTGAAGGAATAATACATTCCAAAAACAATTGTTTAAAAAATCGGAGGCTGGATGGAACTGGAAATTTACCTACGGAAGTCAAAGATCAAAATAGTTCTGTAACACTGAAATGGAATGAAGAATTTACTAATAGTTTAAAGGAATTAGAAGCATATTGTTATCTGAAAAGTTTCAAGATGTGCACTCTTGAAGTGCGCACTTGGTAACCATTGCACACAGCATACTTTAATTTTTTTTTTTTTTACACACCCAAGACCTCGTTGAAAAGTACTGTACTTTCCTGACAGGCAAAGTTTACATTGTGTCACATGGCTGAGGAAAACTACACCTGAAGCACACACAATCTGGAGCCGCATTAATCAAGAAATTTCCATAAATTCATAATTATTAGATAAACAATAAATGAATATCAATAAGAAAATATCACACATGCCTTCCTATCAAGAAACAAAGCTTTACATCACTTTACAGCTACTATGATACATAACTAAAGCAGAAATAAATAAATTGAACAAGCGTATTCATAACCATATTGGAAAAACCGTATATTATCTGATAAGAAGCCAAGAATAACACAAGAACTTATCTTTGTCTTTTTATCAAAATCTAAAGGCAAGTCTTTCTCTTCAGGGTTATTTCGAGCGTTACTTATGTCCATAGAAGATAAAATACAGGTTAACAGCAGCATTTAATATAGCAAGGTATATTTTTGGGCTGAGAACAAATCGAAAACACATTCAAGAAATTCAAGAAAGTAAACAACAAAACATAAAATAATCAACTCATAAAACTCTCCATTTCCCTCACCATCCAAGAATTCATTTTCCATGAAAAATTTGTCGAAACACTTCTCCGTCATGAGAAGAAGGGTCAAATTCCTGAATAACTCGGCCATGACTGCGATTACTACACGTCCTCACCCTGCCTCTCCGTACACGTCACTGGCGACCGGAGGGCAACGTCACTGCAGACCGGGATGGGACACTCGGGAAACTCGTGGGTCGAGAAGCTAATACGCAAATTGGCAACTGTTTACTGGTTAGTTTTAGGCCCGGAAGATAGATGGCGGTGCTAGAGATGGTCTGTCGGTAAGGAGGGACTGTGGGGTTTATCTGTCGGTTAAATGGATTTCTAAATGGATTCTAAATGGATTATTGTTACTTATTATATGTGTAAAAATGGCGAGATAACTGAGAGAGAAATATACTTTGCTTGGTTTTGTTTCTTTTTGGAAATAGAGATGGCGCTGACACAAGAGAGGGAGACTGCAGTATATCACGTCATCAAAAGAACCATAAAAATGGATTATTTTCTTTCCCCATATAAAAAAAAAAAACATACAATAAGTTACCGAAAATATCAAGAGGCTAACAGGCGAACAACAACAGCAAATGTGTCATACACCGGTTATTTATTACGATATTGGAAGAAAGATGGAGACTGATTGGGGAAAGTAAATAGGGGGGGGGGGATGACGTCACAATATTATCTAAGCAACGTTGGATGACGTGTCTGGGTCGTAATTTTTTTCCCAATCACAATAATGATAATGATAATATTACTAATACAACTACTACTACTACTAGTTATGATAATGACAGTGATATTTATAGTTATAATAGCAACAGCAAGATAATAATGATGATAGTAATGATAGTAATTATATTACTATAATCATATCTGTCACAGCATTTATCATTTGTCAGAGACTGTAAAACGGCAAAATACATTTATCATTCCTGTTATTCGGTTCGTCACGCGTTCTCTTAAGGCTGGCATTAAATGCTGCCTTTATATATTCTGTCAAAATGATCATAGATTAAAAAGGTAATACACAAATAAATAAATGTTTTGTTGGTAACACCGAACTTCATTCATTTGGATCGTCATTAAGCGGTGCACGTATATATGTGTGTATATATGTATATACATATTCACACACACAGATATATATATATATATATATATATATATATATATATATATGTGTGTGTGTGTGTGTGTGTGTGTGTGTGTGTGTGTGTGTGTGTGTGTACATATAAGTATTACAGGAAAATGGGGACACGCATCTCAGAACTTTTCGCCAATCTGTTCTACAAAGTCGGGTCGACTTTCTACAACAAATAAATAAATCATGAAGTTGGTAACCTATACAAAATGCAACACTCCCTTAACTTTCCCTTTCATTTCTCTTCTGTAAACTGAATGAATTGTCACGATTATATAAAACAGCTCGATGACCCTCCGGCAAAGTAATCTCTGACCAATGAATTGCTGATGAGTTTATACTGCTCTTCTTCAGTGTCATGCCGAGCATTGCGATCAGTTTCTGCATTCCAGTCAGATGTTCAAGTAATAATATAATCTAAGTGAGCCTTAAACAGTAATTAAAACAAAGACAGCAAATGTGGACATCTTGTTTATTAAGGCTAATTGTACAATACACAATGTAGTGCACTGTTTATGCATACATAAATACAGCAAATAAGTATATAATAATCTACAAAATGACCGTTGGCCCGTCAGTGTCTGCATGACAAGTCCCCATTATGCTGCTGAAGGCCGATAGTGAGGATCAGGATAAGTAAGTTTCTGATCAGAATTAGCGTCCACATGTAGGTCTAAAGGTTAACCAAGTCCCACCATAGAGAGACTGGCTATATATGGGGATTACTGAAGACTGCCCGTGGGCAACCTTCGTCCTTCCGAAGATGCAATTTGATGGATTGATTTACTGCAGTGTGTCCTTTTGCATTACAGACAACATACAAGAGAAGAAACCGCTGCATTTAAATGATATAACAGTCACAAGCCATAAAAACCATAACAACACAGTAGTTTTCCGTTCCCATTAAGCAGTTTCATGAATGTCACATTTGCAGAGTTCAAACTAACAAAATCAAATATAGAACAAGGACCATCAAAACAATATATAAACAATTTCAAATACCATCA